GGTGGCGCCAGCCCGGCGCAGGCAGCTGCCCGGTCAGGAGGCCCGGGGAGAGAGGGCAGCCCCCACCTCCCCCCTCTCTTCACTGTAGGTCTGAACCACGTTTCAGGCTCCTTTGTCCCCGACTTAAATAGGGCATTCGCAGAGGTGCTGGTGGCTTGACCCTGGCCTGAGGGGATGGGGGGTTCAACCTGGCCAGAGACTGGTCCAACTGGTTTTGAAGCCAGGGAAGTTACAGGGGGTGAATCCCCTCTCCCACTACCAGAACCCTTTCACATAAACCCAGGTCTCTTCAGGACCTTCATGAGTCGAGGTCCTGTCATTAATTTAAGTAGTTCAATTACCCCACTGTTGTCACAGTCGTCTTCCCAAATTTACAGTCAGATGAATTCACAAGTTTTTCCTGTCTAAATTTTTAATGTCTACAAAGTTAACTGTAGAAAGCAATAAGCAACATTGTAATTAATTTCATAGTATGGTTAGCTCAAGCACTGAGCTGCCCTATGACAAACAGAAGTTAAAACTTGCTAGAAATGAGTGACAAAAATATGAAGCAGTCAAATAGCAAGATTAAAAATCCTCAAAGGTTGTTTATATTCAAATTTTTGTTATAAAATAATTTTAAAATTAAGAATGCTTTAACAGCATTGCAGGAATTTTGTGCAATGCTTGCAAAAGGCAGTAGGAAAGCATTGAAGTATACATCTTGGCTTACAAGAGGCAGGTTGCATTCTATGATGAGAGTGGAGGGGAAAGCGTGTGAGCATTTCTTAAATATAAAAATGCTAATTTGCAGGCTTAAATATGTGAGGGCTGACAGCTCTTCCTCCTGAGCATCTTCCTAATCTGGAATATTGTGCATGTTCTGGGAAAATTGGAGCCTGGTTTCTGACACCAGACTTCCTGGAGTGGTATCTGGAATAATCTTGAAATGCAAGATGTGTTTCATACGAACTTTGTAGAGGAGAGGAACGAGTCTGTTTCACTTATCTCTGTACCACTAGAAAATACAAGTTTTAAACACGACTGTAGCTGGAACAGATCAGTGCTTTGAGCCAGTCTGTGGATTTAAAATAAAAGTGAATCTTTACTTTAACCTGATGTGAGGTTACTGTTGGTGTCATTTCTAGTGTGACAGTTCAGCCTGTGCTCTCCCCTTCTCTGCTGGGACTGTGTCTGTAGTGGTTCTCAGCCTTTCAGATGTGTTACCAATTTTCTTAGCATTGTTGCAAGGGTCAGAGAACTTTCACACCTCTTGCTCTCAGTTTTTCTTGCTGATCTTTAAGTACTTATTGTGTTATTTTCTGTGGCCTGGTTTCTGCCAAAACCCAGATTTACGCGCTAATCAGTTCCTGCTTGTAGTCTGTCAACTGTTTTCCTTCTGGTGCAGTCTGTCTTTTCCTTTACGCTTTTGCTATATCCTCTTTGTAAAGCATGTTGTAAAAGAATCTGTGAAGAGTCTCGAACAAAGTAGCATATGAAAAGTCGCATGCTCAGCTACAGTTCCACATGGGCTTTTCTTAGCTGGCAAAGCCAGTTTGAGCTTTCTGCTTCTCTGCCGCAGCTTGATACTCTGAGCTGTCACTACAGTAGGCTATTGGGCTGCACTGTAAAATAATAGCTGAAATGTTTATTTAGAAAGGAGGAAGGGGCCTTCAGACTTTAACTTAAATGTCAGTCTCCACAAAGGGGGATTGACAGGCACCTGGCTACCCCTGGTTGGTACTGTGAGAGCCTTTGCTCAGAATCAGGGTTATCAGCAACAGGAGCACTATTCTCTGTAGTAAGTTACAAGAGAGAGAGGAAGGAACAAAGAGTTTCCCCTAGCTCCCTTTCCCTTACAGTTGGTTCAGCAGTAGCTCCTTGTTGAAGCAAAAGTTAGCTCATGACTCTCACAGATCTTTAAGCTACATTAGTAACTTGTGAATGAAACTCCCCAATGGTTTTGAATAGGGCTGAGAGGAGTGAAGGAAAGCGTGTGTTGTGAAGACCAGCTCTCTGATGGGCATGATTTTTGCCTTGTCAGCATTCTTATGCAGGTGAGAAGTCTGCTTTGGAGGGTCCTTTCTGGCATTTGCACTGGCCTGGGAAGGGACATCACTGCCTCTTCCAGACTCGGGTGTAAGTCCAGGATAAGATGGCTAACTGGAGTTTTATTCTGTTGCAGCATCCAGCCTTGCCCAGATGTGAAATATGGAAAACGTATCCATGTGTTGCCAATTGATGACACAGTAGAAGGGATCACAGGGAATCTGTTTGAGGTCTATCTCAAGCCATACTTCCTGGACGTATACAGACCCATCAGGAAAGGTAATAGCACCTGTTATTGAAGTCCTGATGGCAGCAAGTGTGAGCTAGTCCTGAGACGGAAGAGAATTTCTAGAAGCTTGCACAGATCTCCACGAAGCATTAGGCTGACATCTAGAGAGTGAGGTTTTGCTGGCGCTGGTAAAAAGTGCATAAAACCAAAATATACTTTTAGAGTTGTGCTAGTAGCAATTCTGCTGGAATAAATAGATCCCAATACAGTATAAACACAAGCTGAAGTTATCCAGCTTCCCTAGCCCAGTTTAGCCAGGAGTCATGGTGCAGTATTGTATGTTATTCTACTTCTGGAGACAAACAGTTATAACTAGTAACAACTGGATATAATAACTTCAAAATGAATTTTTAAGTTAGGGCTTTTTGCCTGTTTTAGAAATGTTAAATTGAAACTGAATGGAAAAGAAATGTGATTCCTTGCCTTTGTGTTTTGTATTTAGGCAGAGTATTCTTTTCTGTTGTTTTCTGGTTTTGCTTGTTGTTTGTTTCTGGATGAAATTTGAGAACTTCAACTGCTACAGATTTAAATGGTGCTTGGGTAGTCATAGTACGTGCAGCTCATGAGTTTAAAATGCAGAGTAGTGTTAAAAATGCCAGCAGTATATGCCTGTGTAACCTATTTCCTTGTCCTCTGGGGCTGCTGGTAGTACAAGGGTTAGCATTTTGCAGACATCTGTTGCAGCAGGCTACTGGAATGTTTTACAGGTGACATCTTCTTGGTGCATGGAGGAATGCGTGCAGTGGAGTTCAAAGTGGTGAAGACAGATCCAAGTCCTTATTGCATAGTGGCTCCAGACACCGTGATCCATTGTGAAGGAGAGCCCATCAAACGAGAGGTGAGCAGAATCCTGCCATGTAGTTCTACTGAATCCCCTCTGTCCAAAATCTGTTTCAGTGACAGTCCTTGAGAGCAGCAGTGTTTGCAGTTCCTGTTTTAGCATTTTGTATATTGAATATAATGATTAAACACTCTGGTTTCAGGAGATGAGCTGCTGCTGAAGGTAGTTAGAGAAATGTGCTTCCAGTATCCTTCCTCAGATGCTGAGATAGCACCAACCAATGCTTAGGTTTGCTGATGAGGTGCCATCCTTTAGCAGCAGCTGGTTTTGCATCTGCTTCCAGATATCTTGTGCTGGACTTGGATCCATCTTTTAATTCCAAAGTTCTCTTGATTCATAGCAGGGAGGGCTTACAACGTTGCTAAATTTCATGCCACATGAGAAGAAAGCAATTAGTGGTTTTTTAGTGATAAATTTGAAATCTCTAAATGGTTGGGGTTTTTTATTTTTTTCCCCCAGTCCTTAAAGGTATCTAGCCTTGAGCATCCCAAGCTTGAGGCAGCCTGAGTGGATTGTCTGTCAGGTCCTGGCCACCTTACTGTTACAGAGTAGGAAATCTCAGAGAAATGAGCTAAGGTGGTTGTGTACTTCATAAAGTAAGTGCCTTTCTACTACCTGCAAATCAGGGTGAGTGCTGGTTTGTAGTTAGCTGCCTTCTGAAAAATCCACCACTATTTGACACTTGTGAGACTGTCTGGGAACTGGATGAGTTCAGTTTGGGCTCTTCAGGACACAGCAGAGACAGATGGTCTCAGCCAAGGCCACCAAAATGATGAAGAGCTGGATGTCAGAATGAATGAGGAGCAACTGAGCAACTGAGAGAGTGGGTTGATGTAGCATGGAGAAGGGAAGGCAAAGAGGCAGGCTTACTGGCAACTGCCTGATGGGAAGGGATGGATAACCAGGCTTTCTCTCAAGCTGCACCCAGAGACAGGATTAGAGGCAATGGTACAAGCTGGATCAAGGGAAATTCCCAATAGATGTTAGGAAAAAGGTTTCCGCAAAGCCTGGAGAGGGCAGGAATCTCCAGACCTGGAGACCTTCAGCACTTGATAGGGCCAGACCCTGAGCAACTTGCTTGAAGTAGTAGTTTCTGTTTGTGGGGCTTGGACTGAGCCCCTCTGAGGTTCTAGGCTGAGTTATTTTATTATTTTAGTGTGGCCTAATGTTACAGATAACTAAGGCCAGTAGAGATTTGGACAGCCCAATGAATGGATGCTGTAGAGCTATACTGAAAGAGTTGATTACAGTTGGTCTTATCTGCACATCTGGATCTTAACATTCTCTGTTAAGTTGAGTCAATCCCAAAAGAAAACACTATGTTGGAGAACTGTATGGTAGCTAGGGTATGTCAAGTAGTTAGAAATATCACTTACAGTTTAAGGAATAAGTATATTTTATACTGGGCTTCATTGTCTATTGTCATCTTTGTTAGTCACATTGAAGGGTCACGCAACTTGTTTTGTGCTAGAGTCTGTAGGGATCCTGACAGCAGAGGCTGTCATTCAAGAGGGTGGGCTTCAGTGAGGTCTAGGTATGTGCAGGCGTTTCCCTTTGCATGTCTGGGAAGAGAGAGCCAAGAAACAATTGTAGAAGACACCAGGAAGACTTTAAAGTGAGAATTTCAAGACAGCAAAAATGACAACGAAAAAAACCCTGGATTCTTGGGTTCTGTAGACCAGGAGGGATTGTTGAACTATTGTTTTCACTCAGATGTTTAATGCATTTCCTTCTGGGTAGGATGAAGAAGAGTCATTGAATGAAGTGGGCTATGATGATATTGGTGGCTGCCGGAAGCAGCTGGCTCAAATTAAAGAGATGGTGGAACTTTCTCTCCGACGCCCTGCACTCTTCAAGGCCATAGGGGTGAAGGTAAGTCTCTGTGTGCACCAGGTGAATGAGTGGGCTTGCCCTTGCAGATGACTCTTGATGTCAGAGGTTTATGAGGTATTGGGAGGGGAATAAGTAATTTGTGGGAGTTTTTTAGTGCTGATGTTAGGAAAGTATTTCCTTACGTGTTTTTGACACAGATTAAAGTACTGGCAACTTGCAAAGGAGAGGGATGCTTTGAATCAGCACTGTCAGTTACTGGCAAGGTTTGTTTTTGTATGTCATGAAAAGTAGTAAGGGTGGTGATAGCAATGCTGGGATGGCAGCTGTTACATGAGTTTGCATCACAATTTCAGACTGGCTTTATCAAATGCTTACAGCTTCACTGTGAAGCTACTTAAGCATTCAGATACTAGCTCACCACCGAAGTCCCTTGCCTTTGTCCTCAGCCTCCACGTGGGATCCTGCTGTATGGTCCTCCTGGCACTGGTAAAACACTGATTGCACGAGCGATGGCCAATGAAACGAGGGCTTTCTTCTTTCTGATCAATGGTAAGTTTTGTGGCTGTTTTGGCCCCACATCTGCTGTGTGCTCATTCATCCATCTCGTGATAATGAATGGTATTAATAGGGCTTATAGAGCCACATTGTCTCCCTGATATCCTTCCTTACCTCTTTGAAGTGTGCCTCTGGGGACACTTAGAGGCCATTTGTGTGGAAGCTTCTGTAGTGAAACTTCCCTTAAGCTTGATTGTTTCGTAGCAGGGTGGTTGGAATGACAGCTTTGCAATGCAGGAACTTGGAGTCTGGCTGGCTGAATGCTCATTTATGTTGGTGAGGACAGAGCTGGGAGTGAAGTGAGATTATTCTATGTGTATGACTGCAGGACACTTGTTTCTGTTGCTGCCAGCATGTTCCGTTCAGAAAAGAAGCTGGTCTGATGTGAATTTCTCTTTTACCTCAAGTAAAGCGCAAGACCTGTTCTGTTTCACATAACATTAATTGGGAGGAACTGTCCTGAAAGCTATAATGAGTACCTTGGAACTTAGCTACAAGTGACAGAACCTCCTATTGATCACTCTTCAGCTGTAGCAGTTGAGATGGATACTGGTTTATGTCCAGTAAGGATCAGATTCTGAATTTTCCTCACTGTTTTTCTGTCCCATGTTACAGTCAGTGCTGTAGCAGTGTTGTATACAGAGCTGGTATGAATTGGTGAGTTGTTCGTAATGAAACAGTCTTAGTACTTGCCTGCACCAGTGGCTCTGCAGCTGGCACACTTCAGTCAGCTAGCAGCTTTGCACTCCTGAGGATCAGGTTTCTCTTTCTTGGATGTCTTAGAAGCATGCTTTTCTCTTCATTACCACTCCCATCAGCATGATGGAAAAATCTGTAAAAACAGAACAAATCTGTGAGCCTGCACTAGTGTTCAGCAATTCTAGGAGATCTCAGGGGAATGCTGTCCTTCTGGGATTGATTGATTACACTTTTTTTTTTTTTAATCTATTCTTTGAGAGGAGATGAGTATTGGTTTTTTGGTGGTTTGGTTTTGGTTGGTGTGTTTTGTTTTTTTGCAACTCATTTATAGGATCTTACAGAGGTAAATGTATACCTGTGTAATGCGAGCTAAAGACAGCTTCAAAATCTTACCACTTTTTCCTTTCCTATTCTGATAATTCATCACCATATAATTGGATTGCTTCTCTTGCGAGCTACGACTGGCATTGACTGTGTGTGGTGACACATTACAGAGAAGCTCACCAAGTGTGAAATAGGGTAAGGAAAGAGGCAGCTAAAGGTAGCTCATTGACTAGTGCTACATTCTGTTAGAGTATATTGAAAACACCAGAAAAACGATAGAAAGTAATCCTGCATGCTGTTCTTGCCTGTTCAGCTGCAAATTTAGTGAACTTGATTGATAGTATTTGCTTTGGCTTGAAATATAGGTACTCCCATGTGAATGTTGTACTAAAAAAATTCAGCTGCATGCCTTGGGGATAGCTGCTTCTTTTCTGGATGCCACAGTTCCATTACTTTTTCAGGTCCTGAGATCATGAGCAAACTGGCTGGTGCATCTGAGAGCAACCTGAGGAAAGCCTTTGAAGAAGCAGAGAAGAACGTTCCTGCCATCATCTTCATTGATGAACTGGATGCCATTGCTCCTAAGAGAGAGAAGGTAAAGAAAGCCCATAGAAGGTAAAGGAGTACATCTTTTTTGGTAGCAGCTGATGTGAATCTCTGCATTTGACTACAGGGTAAAACGGTGTTTAACTTAACGCTTGAATTCAGTTGGATGTCAAAAGTCGGATATCAGAAGAATCCAGTATAGTTCACAATGTTTAACAGCTCGCATCTGTTGTATCTGTCTGCTCTAGTGCAGTGCTAGCTCCTGTGCTGTGTTGAAGAGCTTTTGGTCTAATCATTACTTTCTCTCTCTATAGACACACGGAGAGGTGGAACGTCGCATAGTGTCTCAGCTGTTGACTCTTATGGATGGACTGAAACAGAGAGCACACGTGATCGTTATGGCAGCTACCAGCAGACCTAACAGCATTGACCCAGCACTCAGGCGATTTGGTAACCATGATTGCCATATTTATTTATTTTTGTATATCAGATACTTTGTTTATGGGCTATGCTTCAGGGGCCTTGGAAAGATTGAGCAGAAATTAATATTAGACATCATCTGTGCATTACATAAACTATTCACTTGTCTCCAGCTACTTGTTTGAAATTAATTTCTAGGCTTCCAGCCTTTAGTATCATTTTCTGTGCTTTATAAGGTCAGAACATGTAGAAATAAAATCCTTAGAGGGTAGCGTGCTTTTTCACCTCATCAATTAGGTGAGGCTATTTCAGGACTAAATGCTTAAGGGGTTTTTCTAGCCTCAGGTTGCAGAAGGCTCTGAATTGTCCAATTTATCTTAGTTTTATTGATGAGAAGTCTGGTAGTTTCTGAGATTTGGGCTTTCAAAACTTTACAGTGTAAATGAATGTCTGTTGTATGACCAATTGGTAAAGTCAAACCAAATAGCAAACCAGTCAAATTTGCAGGAAAAAATGGCCTCTTAACTGTACAGTGAGGTGTTTGAATGCACAGCTATGGCTAGAGGAAAATGATAGGTGTACGTACTTTAGTTAATATTGCAGTAATATGTAGGTTTCCTGCATCCTTGTATATTGGGACAATTCATATTTTTCCACCACTTGGGAACAGCTATGAAAGTTCTGAAAAATTAAATTTCTCAATATTTGTGGACTCCTGTGCTGAGGACACAAAAGTAGGAATAAACAAAAATGTCTCATGGTGTGTTGGTTAGGGGAAGCATATTTTCCTATAAACAAGGCTTGGAAAAAACAGAAATCCACTGTGTTTATATAATCTTGAACTCTAGTTAATACAGTGGTCTCACTTTCCTAAATGGCTAAAGCCTTTCCTCCTTCTCTGATCTGACTCCACTACTGTGCTGATAGATGGTGTAGAGAAACCCAAAGCTCTGACATTTTCTGAAATTGTATGTTTGTGGCTTGTCATCATGTTTCTCTGTCAGAGGAAGGCAGCAACTGCAGCTCCTTTAGTTCACAGAATCAGCAGCTCAACATGTTATGTGATCCCCAGGTCGTTTTGACAGAGAGGTAGATATTGGTATCCCAGATGCCACTGGACGCCTGGAGATCCTGCAGATCCACACAAAAAATATGAAACTGGCCAATGATGTGGATCTGGAACAGGTGAGTAGCGTATTATTAGGAACAGACAGACGTTCCTGATGCTCTGTTTTGTAGTGGAAGAGTCGCTAAATGTAGTTGCTCATTTAGGACAGTGTGAAACTGGGCGAATGTGTGGTCTCTGGGCTTCCTTCTAACTAGTTTACCAGTGACCAAAAATCCTCACTCGCTAGTGAAGAATGGCATGGCTAAGTAAAAGAAATGTGTGTCAGTCCAGTCTGGAAGTACCTTGCCACTGTCCTCCTGGGTTTGTTTGTTGTGGCATTCTCTTTAAAAATAAAGCAAGTCTGAAACAGTGCTCACAGAGCTGGGTGAATGTTGTGGTGATACTGGATGGTTACTATAATCTCTGTCCTGAATGAAGAACTGCAGCCCTCAGGGTTATCCTTCTGCACACCATCTGAATTTCAGTTGCAGCTTTGATCTCAAGTAGGAGGTGGAACAGCAGTGTTTTTGTTAAATATGTGATAGCAATGTCTTGGATTTGCAGGAGACCACTGATGTTCCTGTTCTCCTGAGTTTTGTTGCAACTCTGCGTGAGTGACCAGAGCATGCATTGCGCTTGCTTCTATCCCTATGAGTCATAGTACTCTGCTTTCAGGCAGCAAACGAGACCCATGGCCATGTTGGTGCTGATTTGGCTGCTCTTTGCTCAGAAGCTGCTCTTCAGGCTATCAGAAAGAAGATGGATCTCATAGACCTAAAAGGTGAAACCATTGATGCTGAAGTGATGAACTCACTGGCTGTGACCATGGATGACTTCAGGGTAATGCAGGAGTGCCCCTCTTTCTTTCGGGTGCAATGTCTAATTGCTTATCTGAAGCATGTGAACATAACATGTTAGAATTCATATAATGCTGTTTCTTCTAATGACAGTGGGCTCTGAGCCAGAGCAACCCTTCTGCTCTTCGGGAGACTGTGGTGGAGGTGCCACAGGTTACCTGGGAAGATATTGGTGGTCTAGAAGATGTAAAGAGAGAACTCCAGGAACTTGTACAGGTAGGGTTTCCAACAGATTTTTGCCTAATCAGCTTGAAAAATAATAATAAAATCCAGAACCTCTTCACATTCCTGTTTGGGCTGTCAACAGGGTAAATGCAGAGTTTTTTTATGGTATTTTCTTGTAATGGATTGAAAATACCATGCTGTTCCATCTTAGTGAACTTACGGAGAGGAAGGTGCTGGGAAGCAGCATCAGTGTTTTGCTACATACAGAAACAGCAGCAGTTCTGCTTCTCTTAAGTGGAGACCAGCAGTGGGACCACTGCTGAGAATCCTGTTTCATGATGGCTTTATATGCCATAAAGTTGATGAAGATTCTCATACAGAGAGTCTCTGAAGAGCTTTCCATCAGCATTAGCATAGGGACAAGTGAGAAGTAATTGTGAAACCTTCTATGGAAGAAGAAGCTGGAAAAAAGTCATGAATGGTCTGTGGAAGCTTTTGGTGCCTGCCCGTGTTGAGGTGGTTTGGGTTTGATATGTCCCTGCTTTCAGTTGGCATTGTAGAAACAGCCTGTCTGTGAATAAAAGAATCTATTTTTCAGTCTAATTTTCTGGCATTAAAATCATCACCTATGTCTGACCTTGTTGTGGAGGATAAATGCTCACATCAGACACCTTTCCTGTCTCTGGAGGGCAGAGCAAATAGGTTAGGTAATGAGTTGTTCCCTTTTCCTTCTGCAGGGCAGAGTGAAGCTGGGGTGCTGGAAAACTACCTGAACTGGTACTTAGTTCATAGATGGAAAGAGACTGTTTAAGGCAACTTGACAATTTAGCTGTGGTGCTTTTCAAACCAGTGCCCATTGAAAAACTCCAGTGGCACCAAGCAGGCAGAATCTTCTGTTTAACTCACCAGAAATCTCAGGTGGTGTTTCTGGTAGGAGCAGAAACAAAACTGTTCTAGTGAAAGATGTCCCTGCCCATGGCAGG